GGAATGGGTGCGAAAGCAAAATTAAAAAGGGTAGGGCAGTCACTATTCACGTAAATAGCGTTTGCCCTTACCATTACCCTTGCCCTTGCCATTTGTCATGACACAATGGGTGAAAGTGCTCTAATCTAATGCAACAATTCTTTATTTAATTTAACCAAGCCACACTTTGGTATTTCAAAACAGCCTCAAAATACAGAAACATATATGTGGAAGCAAAATATCTCAGATCCTAGGTCAAATAATTAAGCCAATCAGTTTGGGAATTATTTGACCTAATTGGGAGTTATTTGATTTAAGTGAGAATTATTCGATTCTTTCCTTAATTAGGGATTTGATTTATCAAATCTTTAATTACATCAATCTCTCCAAATTGGGGAAGAATAATTTCATTCCATCTGTGGAATTATTCTTCTGAAACCCTAGCCTCCGAGGCTCCTATAAATTCATAGCTACGCACAAGGGTTGAGGTACGTCTAAACTTCTGTATGTAACTCTGCAGAAATTCTCTCTCACAAACCCTAGCCGCTATACTCTTTCTCTATCTCACACAAGGCTCGGGGCATCCTGTTCTCACCCTAGAGAAATCTCCATCCTATTGTTAGCTATAGTTTTCCTAGAAACATTCGATTTAACTTAGGCATCAAAGGGCTTTTGGCCAACACCCCCTGGGTGTGGTCTTTTAATCCGTAGTGTTTTCCAAGGAGAAAGAGAAGCGGAGAGGAAGACAGAATCTTAGACGAATATTTTTATGGGACAAAAATCGCTCCCACAATATATATAAACAAAGAAAGCCATTGCATTAATCTATTTCTTACAAATCAAAGAATCCATGGGTGAAGCATTGGCTGGTGAGGTGTGAAGAAGAAGAATTCGATAATATTTAATGAAGACTAGCCTCACTACACTTGCAAGAGGGCTTTTTTTTTTCTTTTTTTTTTTAAAATTTATTTAATAATTAAAAAAATAATTGGTAGTTGTGTTCCATAAAAATAGGATCCGTTATCTTATTATTTTTTTTAATTTGAATTTGAATTTTTTTTTTAATATGAAAAAGTGTGAATTTACCATATTATCCTCATTTAATTAATAATTTCAATTTTTTATGTTTGCATTAACCAAGGGGCATTTTCTGGTATTTTGAATGTTTTACCATTCTCTGCCTTTTGCTTTATATATATGGATGAAGGGACATAACAGTGATGGAAGAAGAAACGTGTTATAATATTTAGTTAATTTTTCTTTTTAAAAGGGAGATAACATAGTTATTTAAAGGTTAACACTGTCAAGTTTTAGTTAATTGGTTTTAAATTAAGACACACAAGATTGATCACTTTTGTTGACCACCTTATATGGCAGCTGACGTGGTCATGTCATTTAATAAATATTACCATGTAGATTTTATTTTTATTTCTTTAGTTTTTTAATTATTATTAAAAATAAAAATTAAAAGTGAAATTAAAAATTAAAAAACCTTAAGGCCCCGTTTGGTTCATGGGAAATGAGACTTGGGAGTGGGAAATTAATTGTTTTCTCATATATGGTAATTCCAGGCATGGAAAATTATTGCCTGGCTCATGGGAAAGTAGAGCGGAAAGTCAAGTCATCCTCCCAACTTGGATTTTGTTTTCTCTCTTCATGGGAAAGTTTGGGAAAATGAGCCAATATTAAATAGCATTTTTCATGACCATTTTGTCCTTATTAACAATTTAGAATTACAATATATCATTAAATGCATTCTTTTTTATTTGATTTAATATGGGTATAATTGAAAATTTATACGAACTTTATTTTCCATTCCTACTCAAAACAAACATGGAAATGAAATAAGGTAATATTTCATGGTTACTTTCCCAGCATTACCAAACCTGGGAAGAAAATCTTCTATTTCTCATCCTTCAGGAAATGACATGGGAAATTATTTCCCTTCAAATTCGTTCCGTGAACTAAGCAGGGCCTAAGCGTCCCTGGACTCTTCGTCTCCAACACTCCCTTTTTCCTCCATCAAATCCACTCATCCTCATCCTCCGTTGTTGCTGAGTTTTGAATCTTTTTCAATAAAAATGAAATACAAAAACCCTAACGTTTGTAGCCTCATGTCATTCTCTACTCTTTCTCTCATGCCCTCCCTTCCTCCTCCAAATCTATCATCCTCATCCTCCATTGTTGTTGCTGAGAGTTGGAGTTTTTTTAATAAAAAAAGAAATTAGCGTCCCTAGGCTACTGCCAGTAAGAACAATTTGAGTGGGTTGAAGAATGGAGAGGTTTACTTGTCAATTAATCTCCAAAAGCCTCTCACGAAGAGGTTGAAGGCAGCACATACTCAATTTTTAGTGTAGTTAATTCCTTTCACAATGGAACAATAATGGAGGATGAATGGGTCAATTTGATGGAGGAATGGAGTGCAGGAGAAGAAATGTAGAGACGCAGGGTTTTTTAATTTCTTTTCTATTGAGAAAACTCCAAATCTCAACAACAATGGACGAAAGGGATGGGTAGATTTGATGGAGGTAGATGGGAGCATTGGAGACAATTCCAGGGACCTTTTTTTTGTTAATTTTTTCAATTTTACTTTTGATTTCTGTTTTTAATAATTATTAAAAAGAGGAAATAAATAAAAATAAAATCTGCATGACAATATTAATTAATTGACATGACATGACCACATTAGCTAGGGGTGGCATATTAAACCGAAAAACCTCAAAAACCAACCGATAATTTACCGCAATGAAACCGTAATCGCGGTAAACCGAACCGCATTTGCGGTATTAAGAACCGAACCGCATTTGCGATTGTGGTTGCGATATTTGATTTTCAAAACTTGCTGTTACAGCAAACTGCAAAATATAGCCGCACGGATGATGAGGTTGAATTCTACAAGGAAATGGAACATATGACAACTTGTAAGTAATTAGTTTATTTATGCTAATGTTATTTATGCTTCTTCTTATAATAAAATGTATTAAACTATGTTATTTTATTTGTAGATAACATTGGTGCTCAAACATAACGGGGTTCTTCAAATCCACTCACCATCAACACTTGAGTTTGTAACATTAGTTAATTGCATTTTCCTTTTAGTTTGTAACTTTAATTAACTTTGAATTGGATTTTTCTTTTTGGTTGTAACTTTAATTCATTTTGCTTTGCATTTTCCTTTTGGTTTGTAACTTTAAAGGATTTGGAATTGGAATGCTTGAGAAGTTTAACTTTAATTGGAATGTTTGGAATTGTAACTTTAATTTTCTTAGGTTGTGAATGCTTGAGAAGTTGAGGAGATTGTGAATTTATATATGCTTGAGAAATTGAGGTTGTGAATTTATATTTTTGTGAATGCTTGAGAATTCGCGGTCGGTTTGCGGTTTCAAAAATCACCAAACCGCAAATAGTCGGACGGTTTGCGGTTTGAGTAAAAATTCGCCGTTACCGAACCGCATCTACCCCTAACATTAGCTGCCACATAAAGTTGTTAGCAAATGTGATCAATTTTGTGTGTCTAAATAGCATTACTCTTAAATTATATGACACGTGTCAAAAATTTAAGGAATGGACAGTGAAGGGACAGATTAAAAAAGGAAGAGAATTTGAACTCCTAGTGTAGTGGTTTAAAGCAATTGTTACCCAAAGCAACACGATTATCTTCTCTATTCTTATCCTTCATACTATTTTCTACATTTTCTTCCTTCAATACGATAATGAGGAAGGCGAAACAGATGTTATCCTGCTTGTGTTTTGGTGATTGTATCCTGCTTGTGTCCTAAATCTAAATGGCATCGTTCTTCTAAAACGGATGATCTGAAAGCATGAGGGTCACCTACCTAACCAGAGAAAAGAAAAAGGTGGCTAAGAAAAATACAAGCAGAGAGATTGACTGATCAAATCTAGAAAGGTGCCCTCTAGCTCAAATGGTGGACATAAACAAATAAATAATGAATGCATTTGGTGCGACTTCGCATCACCCTCTCTCAAGAATCAATTCCCCGCTAAAATATTTAGCATGAGTTACTTTTAAAGGAGGAATGTAAGGTTTATTCCACCAGTTACAAGAGAAGAGACCTGCAGACAGGAGACATTTCACCTTCTGAGAAGAGATGCCAAACTACTCATCAATTGCTCCATCGCTAAGCAATCTCCTAGAAGTTAGAACCACCACATGTTTCTTAGAATTTATGATATCATGTGATATATTCCTCGCGGAGAACGGAACACTGCGGCGCACTCCCCTTAATTAAACAAAGCAGGGATAAATTAATGGGGAGTGAATGCAGCATCAACAAACGCTGTTATGATATTAGCATGTCAAAGAGGACTAGAAAGTCATTTCATCATAGTG